GAAAGGGCATGACACAAGTCAGGCTAACAAGGAAGGCAGAGAGCAAGGTCTGAGCATCCTCATCACCCACGCAAGCTGTTATATTTAATCCTCAAGCCTGGAAAATCATGGCAGAAGTCCCAGGAGATGGACATGATGTTCTGGGATGATGGCTGTGATGACAGAGAATACAGAATGAAGGGGGAGGGATGTTGAAGTTGAGGACAGACTAAGCAGTGACAGCTTTGAACAAAAACTACAAGAGCAGTAGTAATAGTAGCTGATAGTAAAGAAGATACTGAGAGAACCAAAGAAGAAACTCAGAAGATGGCTCAGCCAGTGAAGTACTTGCAAGCATGAGTGCTTGAGTGCAATCTCCAGAACTCACCTAAAATAGTTGGAAAGTAGAGACAGGGAGGTCTCTTACTTAGCAAGTGCAAGACCAGTTAGAAATGCTGTGTCAGAAACCAAGGAGGACAATACATGAAGAACAACACTAAAGTTTGACCTCTTTCTTTGGTGAATACATGTACAAACACAGGCACATACACGCATGCACACGTGTGTACACATACACCCATGTGTACACGCACACACACAATACAATAAAAGGATTTATTTTAAAGAATGATGTGGAGAGAGTTTGAAACTACCAGGAAGACAAGTGCTTGCATATGTATAGTGATATTAGACCCAATGAATGTAGTTGTCAGTGAAGAGGCCTGGAAAATCTAAGGGGCCCTGGACAGTAGATCAGTATTTATCCGTGGCATATAAATAGACTTTGTGTGTTCATACCTCAAAGAGGGATGCTCTCTCAGCCTGGACTCTTAGGCGAGTGCCTAGGCCCTGCCCTGAATGAAATGACAGACTCTGGATATCTCCTATGGGGAAGGGAGTGGGGATAAGGTGGGAAGCTGGATGGGCTGGTGGGGGTTGCAAGAAGAGACAAGGGAGCGGGAGATGTGATTGACATGTGAAACAAGCTTTTTTCAAAAAATTGTAATAAAAAATCAGTAAAATTATTTTAAAAATAGAAACTCTGAGGTAACATTTGGAGCCATAGATAAAAGATGTCATAAATACTGCTTAAACAGTTAAAATCAACATCATCTAAAATGCAGCAGTCATGTGCTTCAAGAAAAAACAGCAAATTTGTTGACACTACTAACACTTGTCTTCATCATATTCAGGTCAAATTTCCTTGTTTCCCAGTTTATTTTTTAAAAGGACATATGGAGAGAGCAAGAAAGGGAGAGAGTTAATTCTAGAAGCTTAAGGTAGAAAGCCCTTGACTTCCAACAGCAAGGGTACAGGGAAAAACAATAACCACAGCTAAATGTCACATTTTCTCAGAATGGCAAAATATTATTCATTCATATCTTGGATTTCGTTTTCTGTTTGAAATAAAATTAAGGTATAAATTTTGAATTTTGAGAACAATAATTTCTGTTTTCTCAAAAATGCACAAATATTTATAAGACATGTTTCTTAAAGAACCAATTCCAAGTAAAGTAAAATCTTAGCCCAGCTCATCTTCCTTGTATTTCAAAATGAACTTCCCTTACCTCTTTCTTCTCTTATGCTTCCTTCTCTCAAACACCCCAAAACACCCCACTCCCTCATCTAAGGTGTGGGATACTCAGCCCTACATACACACTCACAGTTCTCTTGGGAATTTGAAGTTAAATTTGAAAGCCATAAGACAGAGTAGTTTAAGATTCTAACCCTATGATTCTAAAAATCAATAAAGACAAGCAAAAAGAAGAAATATGAATAAAACAAAAAACCTGAGTCTCTGGAGCAAGGCCTATTGTTGGTAGCAAGCTACTATTTTAACAGTCCCCAAAAGGTACAATATACTTGTCAAGACATTTAGAAGTAACCTGGCTATTTCAACTATACCAACAAATCTATTCACGTTAAGTAATTATAGAGTAGGAACTAAAAAGTAAAAAGACATTAACGAATATAAATATGTATGCATCATGAACTTAATTTGGAATTCTTTGTGTTTCATGCAAGTGGGAAGGTCACAAAAAATTGCTTGGAGGTGTGCTAACTGAAAAGAACTTCAAGTTGGAAAAAGACATCCACTGCAATTATATTCATATGCCCTATTTAGAAAAAAAAATCCTGAAACCATCCCCCTGTGAAAATGAAGGTATTTGTTGACTGCATTTTTATCTTTCCTCTAATTTGTTATGCTTCAGAACTTATTCATTAAACTGCTTGGCGCTTTGGACACACTAAAGAATTGTGCCTTACCAAGAGAAAGTAGAGGAGCCAGGATCCCAAAGAATAAGAATGCACCTGTTTCTGAATCCAGAGATTTGAATGGATTTTAAAATGACCTCCCTTCTCTACCTCTTCTTTTTCTCTGTGGCAAACAAATGCATAACAAGGAAAGCAAGGCTGCTGAAGGAAGTTATAGAAAATCTGACAACTGATTTATCAAGCTACAAGGGAAGGGGGAAGGGAATAGCAAGAAAAGGGGAGAGTGGGAGAAGGCAGTGGGGAGGGGAGGGGAGGGGAGAAGAGAGGAGAGGAGGGGTCAGAAAGGACAGAGGGGAGAGGGGAGGGGGGAAGAGAGGAGATGGGAGGAGAGGGGAGAGGAGAGAGAAGTAGAGTTGAAGAGAGGGAAGGAGGGAGAGAAAGAGGGAAGGAAATGGAAGGGAATAGAGAGGAAAAGAAAAGGGATGTAAAGACAGAAAAGGCTGAATACAGATTACTTACAGTCTGGTGAGTTTTGAAATTTCTTCCAACTTGGAATTATTTCAAAGTAAGTTAATAAAAAATTTAAAAGGAACAAGAAAAAAGGAGAGAAAGGAAGGGACAGTCACCGCATGCCAGTGTGATTGGTGAGTTAGCTAGCATCTACCTCATCCTCCTCTCCTGAAGCATTGTTCAGGAGTCTTAAATGTTAAAAATTGGACTCTAATTACCTCTTGGCAGAAGTAGTCTCTCTTAAAGTTCCATTAAAAAATAAAAGGAAGAAGGTTGTCAGAGAGGTGTCCACATAATTTGACTCATTAACTTAGAAACGAACAGCATCTTAATCCCAAGACTTTGGAGAAGACAGATCAAAAACACACGCTCAAAGAAATAAAATGTGGCAGATAGATGGTGAGCCCAGCCTGAAACCTGGAGTCCCTGTGTTCATTTTTATAGTGTCAGTGGGCAAAGCCAGATAGATTTCCTTTTCAAATGGAAGGAAAATGCATTTTGTCTGTCTCACTGAGCAAATGACTCCATTTTAACAGATCCAAGCCAGAAGCACTGTCCTCACAGCTTTTTCCAACCCTTTAGAGGAGTTACCAAGGTGTAGTGTAAAGAAGAAAATGAAGCCAAATAAATGGCAAGGAGTCTGTGGCACTCACTTCCATACCATGACATTTGGTGCCTGTTTTCCCATCATCCCCTACTGACAAGATCTTTAAGGAAAACAAAATGCATCTGTTCAGAGAGATTTTTGCTTTATCTTCCCCTTTAAGCAAACAAGCGTGGATATACCTAATTTTACCACAAAGGGCCGTTGCAATTATGGCAACTTTCATGAAAGATTATTTATGCCACCTTATATCCAGCAGACAAAAAGCAAAATGAAGGCAGTGTCAAGTACACCCACAGTGCTGATTCCCAAGCACTCTGTTATTTCCTTGCAATAATGTTTAAAGAAAAATAATTCCTGCAAGAGACTTAACTGTAGCCATTATATTATTTTCAAACAGTTAAAGAAAGCTTTGCAAATAGTGCTATTCCATTCTTTGCAGCCCCAATCCATTGTCTACTGCTGTTTTTACAGAAACTGCTTTCCTGTAAAAGGTCATTTCTTCTCCATTCTGAATTCCATATTTTCAAGTAATTGTTCTTTTCAAAGTCAGGCTTTCTCTCTTACTTTCTTATTTATTTTATTTTATTTTTTTGCCTTTGATTCTACATTGGTTTCCATTTTTGCCTTTGCAGTTTCTGAAAACCACCAGTCAATCATTTTCTTGTGAGAATCAGACAGGCTATGGTAGGTTGGCCTCAGTAGCAAAAATAAAAAAAATAAAAAATCCAATAGTTTAAAGATTGAACTCATTTTTCATGAGACACGAGCCATGAAAAATACGATCAAAATGGAGTTGACACTGTGCGACTCTAAGTTATTTTACTTGAGAGAAACGCAGGGGTGTGATGTTCATCTGACCTCTCATTTCTTCCTTTTTACCTGTGTGAATTTCATATGCCGGCTGCAGGTATTTGAGCAGAAAGTGATCTAGAAGTTCATTCAGCGAGTTTGATTACCAAAATGTGTCTCTTACACTATAGTCACTGCACGTTAAGTTGTTGCTGTTTTATTCTGTCAAGTTTGTGGAATGTTACCTCCTTTGTATTTCTCTACTAAGTGTCTGAACTTTAGAATGAATTTATAGTCAACCAACTAATTTCCCTGGTTAAAAAAAAAACACATGAATGGGACGGACTTCATAAACCTAAATTTAATTTTCTCTCATTGTACTCACTCCTGTGAGTCTCCTTAGCCTCCTTGGCACTGACTTCTTCATAATTCACCCACTGCCATGAGGCAACACCATAGGGAGTAGGATGATGCATATTCACCCCTCACTTGGTTACTAAATAGCTAGGAAAGTCTCCGGTGTTAATGGGGTCTTCCTTAAAGGGGAGGGGCTGAACTGGAGAGATCTATAACCCTCCGAGACCAATTCCCTATATTGCTAATCTGAAAACAGTTCCAAAAGTAAATTCCCACTTACCAATGAAGGTGGTCAAAGCCCCTTAGGCTGTGGTCATTTTTTGTGTAAGCGAATGTAATACAACCCCACGTTCCAGGTTAGTTGTGACTGAGACTATGTTCTTTGCTAAAACAGCGACCAGTTTTCACTGAAATTCACCATCTCATTAGTGACCCCATTTCTAAAGTCACCAAGGAGAGGAGACTTCTGTTCAGAAACTCGAGAACCTAAAACTCCAGGACTGTGACACATTTGTTACTACATCAGGAAAGCTCACAGTACCTAAAATAGCCACCACCTCGTCATCCTGGATCACTTCCAAGGACCCTGACACCACAAAGCAAAGGGCATCCACACTTTCTCCAGCATGGTAAATCAGGTCCCCAGGAGCACAGTGAATGGTTTGGAACTCCACTGCCAAAGCACGCAGACACCCATCGCTGGCCAATCGGAATGCAGGATGTTCATTAAAAACCTTCCTGTTCAGGTGAACACAGATGTCAGCTCTCATGTCCTTGGGACAGATGGAGAGGACCTGAAGAGAGTGAGAAATGAGTAAGTGAAAGGGACAGATAAAGCATCCATTTCACAAGAAAACGAATGTCATACTGAATGCATACTGATCACTATTTCATCTGCTGGACAAGGCGCTAGGCACCTGGAAGGAAAAGTTAGACACAAGCCTGCCCTCAAGGAGATCAGGGTCTAGTGAGATGCACTGGTGCACATACAGACATCACAGCATCAGATCACATCACAACACAGTCACGGCACAGCACAATGTCGTCAACATTTAAGAGACTCTCCTATTGTAATAGAAGCCTTGAGAGGCCAGGAAAATTCTTAGCAAATGGTCAATCCTGAAAACATGTGCATGCGAGTAACATTATACAGACTGAGCAGATTACATTAATTTATTTAGGAACACATACATGTGTGCTTACATAATACACACACACACACACACATATATATATATAGAGAGAGAGGGGCAGAGAGAGAGAGAGAGAGAGAGAGAGAGAGAGAGAGAGAGAGAGAGAGAGAGAGAGAGAGAGAGAGAGAGAGAGAGGCCATGAATTCAAGAAGAGACTAGGGAGTGACTAGGGAAGGTTTGGAGAGAGGAAGGGGCAAATGATATAATTATACAATACTGCCAAAATCTAAAATTTTAAAGCAAATAAAAATGAAAACAAAATTTGTTATCCTTAGAGTCAATTAACATAGAATATTAGCATTGATTTCTATTCATCCAATGATCTAGAATTATTTCATAACTACATCAGGAATGAACACTATATGATAGTACAGACAGGGAACAGATGCATATTAGCTGACTGCAAAAAATTAAAATCAACAAAAGCAGCCCAGCAACTCAACATTCCAAAGGCTCTTATACTACCACTCTCTGTATTTCTTCAGTTTGGATGATTTTCCCCTCATAAAAGAACAAATGTCCAGGGATAGAGAAGGGTTTGCATCAGCCTCTGTGAGGCACAAGGGACCAGACATATCTGTAAGCAAGACAGACTCAGTCTTGCACATGCTTGTAATTTTATGGTAGGTTTCCGGGTTTAGGGGAGCAGCTGGATTCCAGGTCAATTTTGGCTTTTAGTTGTTTTCATCCCTTCTTTTACTTGCTGAAATCCTTCTTTGTAACAAGACCCCCTCAAACTTTCGGTTCGTGTTGCCTGTATGGGCATGGGTGGGGGGATGCATACTGCTGCATGTGCCACTCATCAGTGGGTACACCACTGAAGACAATGGCATCTCTTCACCACAGCAATGATTAACTGCCAGTAGTATCTCTGCAAGAGGTGGGGCCACATCTAATCAAAGAATCTCCAAAGTCAAGGCTACCCACCTTGTAGATAACCATGAAGGTCCTTTCCCCCTACAACCTGAATAAACTAATTTCAATAAAGTTTTGCTTTTAGAGGATTTCAATATTTCAAAGGTAAAGACAAGTTGATTTTCCCATTCAGTTATAATGAATAATATTTAATGTAAATTTTTTTTCTTTCTTTTCTTAATTATGTTCTAATTTTAGATTCCTGCCCTCCCACTAGGCTTGAAATATCTCAACAATTCCTTTTATTTGTCTTACCATAAATGTAACCCTGGTTGCTTTCCTGCAAGAATGATCTATCACACAGTGAAATTAAATTACACTTACTGAGTTCTTTGTCTTTACTTTTCCTCTGAATACATTTTATTTCATATCACAATCATCTCCATTGGCTTCCTTTTAATAATTTTTCAAATTCCTACAGACAGCAGTCATCAGTTCACTTGCCTTTCTGAAACATCTCCTCTTTGAAGAAAGGAATGCCCTAATGGAGCTTAAAAAGCATTTAATACTTTCCCATTTTAGCAATTTGCAATGGTGATAGTCAATATGTCAACCTATAGTAGGTTTAGACAATGCTGATCATTCACCAGGCATTTACTCAGCTTCCACTATGTGTCATTATGTTAAAGTCTGGATCTGTATAGACAGGCATTATCCTTGCTGTAGAGGTGCTAATAGTGAGTTCAGAAAACAGACACGAAGAGACAGTTATGATGAGGTAGGAAAATAAAATGGCAGGGACACAGGAGCACAAGATACCTATGAGTCTTGACTTACAGCTTACAACATGAAGTCATAAGGTTAGGTTCAAGAGAATATAAGCCCAGGTTCAGCCAGAACATTTATTACATAGACCATAGATGGTCCAGGACAGTGATTCTTAATCTTCCTAATACTTCCATCCTTTAACACAGGTCCTCAAGTTGTGGTGACTCCCCCAACCATGAAATTATTTCATTACTACTTCATAATTATAATTTTGCTACCATTATGAATTATAATGTTTATTTATTATATTTATATTTAGCCTACATCCAGGATATCTAATATGCACCCCCAAAGGGATCATGACCCACAGGTTGAGAATCATGCTCTAGGGTGTTTTACTTACTCTCTCCAATCATCAAATATGAGATAAGGATACTGAGCACTAGCATCATGAGTTCATGGTAAAAATTTAAGCTATCCTGCATACCCTGCACTTTGCCAGAGCTGAAGAAATGTTAGCCTTTATTACCGTTTGTAAGCATGTACGCTGCTACAGTTTGTTTTAGCTCTCTGCGAAATATATTTTCTTCTACCCCTGTATGAAGTTCATGTTGTTTGATAAAAGAGAAGTAAAGTAGTACATTAATAAAATCTGAACATACTTCAAAAATAGGCTAAGAGTAGTATTATGTTGAAAATATAAAATGTTTGAAAAACATATGCACATACAAATATAACATCAAATAGCACAAGGAAAGAAATGAATTGCTCTGTTTTTATCCGTTTACCATATAGAAATTTCAGGTTTTTATTCTTTTTAAAGGCAACAATTTTAAACTATTTCTAGTTACTTCTTTCTGGACTCATATTGCAATTGCAATCTTCCAATATTTAATACAAACTCAATATGCTTTTGTTTATTTTTGAGATTGCAATTACTTACTATTTTTATTTGTCTTGCTTTGGGTTTTGATCTTACTACATAGTCCAGGCTGGCCTCAAACTCATAGCAATCCTCCTACCTCATACACCCAAAGAATACAGGCATGTATCACCCACTTCCACGGTCTACCTTCACTAATTATATTGATTGATGGCATATATGTACAGTTGCCATAAAGTGACAAGTACACTAAGTGTTAAAATAGAGCAACCAGAATCACACCTGATTATAGACTCCCTCTCCATCCTTAGACAAACCATCTTTCTGGTATGGTATCTGTTGTCAGAATTATAAACGTATCATTTATCCTGGAAATTATAATATTCATAAATATCTTAGGCAAGAAAAATGTAGTTCCAAGTAGTAGAATAAAAATACCATTCCAGATAACTCTCACACATAGTACAATTGTTCAAATTGTAGTGTATTTTTGACATGACAGTCACATCCAATAATTTCCTTGGTAGATTCTCTAATGGCATCTCACAATTACCAGCAAATGAAATTACACCACAGTGAAGAAGACTCAGGTTAAGAGTGACTTCCGTTCATCTCCAGTGTGTATTATGTCCCCCTTCATCATGTTAGCATATTAATAAATTAGATTCTTAATCAAAAAAGCAATGAATTTTCCTTTGGAAGAACATTGAACTATTTAAGGAATCATTTCTCATAACACTGAAAACCAACTCTGAAGAACAGGTGAATGCCATACTTTGAACTCTGAAGTGTTTTTTGTATTATTTATGATATCCATTAAACCCAAGGTCAAGTAGTATAGTAGCAGACATCGCTTGGGATCCGAGGGTCTAATCTCAATGCTATCACTACAGAACTCTCAGTAAAATAAATGTGACCATTTTATCTCTGCTTTCTTAAAATAATTCGTGGATTGCTTCCCCACCAAGTAAAGGCAATGTTCTAACCAGGTTTGCAGGGCTTTGGTGGGACCCTGAACCTTCCATTATTCACCCACAGGCACATTTCAACTGCACATTTCTCATCCTTCTCAACTTGCCATGCACCTGCTGATGCTTTGCACCTGTTTTCCTCTTGACTGACAGGTCCCATCATCACTCTCTTTTCCTAGTCATCTCATATTCATCCTTCTGCACCAAGGACAGTTTCTATATAGTCATATTACAGAATTAAAGATTGTATTAGAAAACAAAACATTTTTTTGTCTGTGATTTGTTTGTGCCAGTGTGGTTAATGACAAAAAAAACCCGACAAAATTGTTGTCAGAACATTCAAACATTTGTTTTTCATCTTTGAAATAATTCTCCAGTGTTTTCCTAATGAGCCTTTATATTATGTCTAAGGTATTATAAAATATAATAAAAGCGACTTTGGCTGGGAGGGGCTCCACAGACTGAGATTGTACAGAGCCCACATTCAGTCATTCCTTTAACCATAGATTTTGAGCATTGGTCAAATGCCTAGTATTACACAGTCCTCAGTGTCTGGAAGAAAAACTATCACAATGTCTGTTCCCTGGAGCTTACAGTTAGGCACAGTTGAAAAATCACTGTTTCTCATCCAATGCTCCATTTACAGATAAGACAAATGTTTTTCCTAAAGGCTGTGTGGCTTGCTGAGGGCATTCTCAACAAGCAACTAGCAAAAGCCCTTTAGTTCAAGCTATGAAACCATGATCCCAAGTAAAGCTGACCCAGTAATAAAATATAACATCTGTGCCTTCTGTTGCTCTCTGGATCTTTGTATGGCAAAAAACCCATAAAAATACAGATTTCTAAAAGCAATTTAAGGTCCAGCTAATCAAAATCTACAATCTGACAGTAAAGTGGTAGTTTCCCACTCTTACCACTAAGCAGCCAAGACTTTGTTAGAAACTTGTTTTTCATTTCTAAATACTTACATGTAGCTCACAAGTGTGTGATACACTTCACCATGTCAGTTAAAGGCAGAAGACTTATTGCTAAGTTCCTTATTCCATTATAATTTGTAATAAGGGGAAGTCACCTCTTATTTGAAACACAAGTTGTCACCCATAGCTGAAAAGGTCCAGAGCTAG